GGGGAGCTTACAAGCCATCAAGAGCCTTTTGTTATAATAAAGACTTCCTTAGCTCCTGTTGGTCCTGCACTTTCCATTTAAAGCACACACACATCATCACCTGCTCATTCTCTGCTATTGTATTGCATTCTATAAGCATTTGCTTTCTCTGTGAAGTCTATGTTGGTCTTAATCTTTGTGGCCCAATTGTTACACTCGTTGGAAACACACATGCATACGAGATGCGCAAATATCCTGTTTTTGCCAATCCTCGAGTTACCACAGTTCAAATAACCTTTAACTGAACAGATTAATTGATTAATTCACTGACTTTGGTATTTGTATTATTACTTGCTTCCTTCCCCCCAGTGGCACAGCGGTATGTCTGCGAACTTACAACGCTAGAAACCGGGTTTCGATACCCGTGGTGGGCAGAGTACAGATATCCCATTGTGTAGCTTTGTGCTTAATTACAAACAAACAAACTTGCATTTTACTCACTACACTAAATTTCTATTTTAAAATGTGATCATTATTATGTAATGAAGATCTCTCTTTAGCGAAATAATATTTAAATTACAACATTGAAAATATATTTTACAACAAAAATAAATTTGCTTCCTATACCAATAGTTAAATTGTCTGTCTTGTTGTTTGTTTTTTGTTTTTTTTTTTTGTAGTTAAACACAAAGCTGCATAATGGACTATCTGTGCTGTGCCCACCACGGGTATTGAAACCCAGTTTCTAATTTTTTTTCGAGTAGCATGTAAAGGTAAATTTGTTTTTAGTAAGTTCTGGTCGCGGTTTAATAAATTTTAGTTTAATTATTTAGTAACTTTGGCTTCTTATTGGAGAAATATATCCACCTGGCAACTAACAAGGTAGTAAAAATCACAAAAAAACAACCAGTTGTTGGAATATGAAGAAATTTGTGCAGTTTTTTTTTGTTGGGTTGGTTTATCGTTAAGCATAAAACTACATAATGAACTGTCTGTTCTGTGGCAGCTACGGAGATCGAACCCCAAATTTTAGAATTATAAACCTGCAAGCCTACCACCGAGCCACCAGGAGTCATAAAAAATTGATGAGCTAACTTATAGTTATACACTATAAATAGTTCGTGAAAAATTAACACCAAATTTGATTATTTTTTATTATAAATCTTAATATATCTATTTGAATTATTCTGTAAAACTAATGTACCCAATTCTTCATTTGTTAGAATTACAAACTATGGGATGGTCTTTTTTTGGCTTTAAGATGTAATGACCCACCAAAGGAAAGATCACAATTCCGCAATACCAATGAGTAAATATGTTGCACCCTCCAATGGGACATCTTAACAGCAGGTCACACTTCTTCCTTGCTAGATCTGGCTCCTCCTTTGGTGTCAGCATAGATAGCTGCTGGGGTGCTTGAAGGCTTGGCTCTTTCAAAGTCAACAAGATTGTCATTAATGTGATTCCCTCGATGACCATACTCTACTAGAGACATGATTTGCATCACATCTAATATTGCCAATTGGGGATGCTTGGCCTCTGGAGACTTCAGGGCTCCAACTCATTGACAGATGTGGCAAACTCTTCCATGTCCAATGTAACGGCCAGCAACACTTCTTTATGGGCTCAACCATGGTGAATATCAGGCCAGCTCTTGTGGTCTTAGGTTTGACAGCACAGCTGCTCCTTCACTGGTCTTCACCAAATTGATGATCTATCATGTAGCAGAAAATTATTTTCAGGAACAAAGGAGGATAACCACTTGCTGATTGAAAAAAAAAAAAGAAAGCAATGATAATCAAGAATTCGATCTTCAGTAGCAAAAGTCCAGATTGATAATGCAATATTAGGTATATTACTATTGGTAAAAAGTTAAGCTAGGTATGTAAGTTGAAACGGATTATAACAACTAGAGTACAACCATAAGCTGACTTAAAATCCGTTAGAAATGATTTGACAACTCTATACATGGGTAAAAAGACATTTCTAAGAGCTTTGCATTTATGCACATGCTATATCACCCACAGAAGATGTATCCCTAATGCCTATAAACTTCTTGATCCTCGGGATTCATTGGGTCTCTGATTGACCAATACCTCTTCTCATTCTGGCCTCTGTTGTCCCTGCAAGACAACAGACAACACAACTTACACTTTAACCCAGCCTTATTCATCTTTCTACCATTTGGTTATCACGTTTGTAGAGCCTGGTTCCAGCAGGAAGAAATGGGAGTCCAGACTACAAAATATTTCCTACACACATGAGCTGACTTAGATTAAGTGATACCACCCTTATTTTTCCATTAGAATCTACTAACGCCTACATTGTCTTTCCTTAGGGGCCTTCTTTCAGTTAAAAATTTAGAACTTGTTTTTGGTAACGTTTACAAAGCTTTCACCGCGTGGACGTTACTTTCTACCTCCCCAGTATACTTACAGCTTGCATTTTCATGTGTTATTATTGCACCTAGTACTTAGACAAGGTTAAGAAAATATTCAGTGGAACTGTGTGTTTGTTTAAAATATTTCAACCTACTTGATTGAAAATATTCTACCATAATCAAGTAAAACATGTTTAAATGTGTTACATGTAAGCTATTGTCTTTGAAGTTCATTTACTACTGATAATTTCACCCACTCCTGAATATTTATATTCGATCCAATTGAAATAATATATTGCATTACTCTTTATGAAAAATCCCAAGTAAAACTGTTTTCTCTCAGAGGTAGTGTAAATCTTTTTGTTACTTTTATTTCTTTCATGAACATTCACTACCTACAAAATATTACACTGTCGAAATTGAAACATTATCTTATTAGCATTAATAAAAAATAACAAATACACTGCATTTTTCAAGTAATATCTTTCATGTCAATTATCACAGTTAATGTCATTTCTCAAACTCTTAATATAAAAATCAAATATTTTGTCTCCATGCACATATTGTTCACTCTTGTTTTCTTTATGTAATTGATTCATTTCTATTATACAACACTCATGAATGACCTTATGTAATGTTCATATACATGTGCAAAATGACACTCATATACATATCTTTTATATATATATATATTGTTATGTATATCTATATATATATATATATATATATAATCATTACACATCGTCACATACTCTTATAGGTTATAAAGACTGTCTTTGACTCCCACGTAAATTACTTTGGTAACCTTCTCAGGTTACCTGCTAAGCTCTTTCTCGATATCGATGGTCCCGTAATGTGCTGCCATCTAGAAGCTATCAAACTCAGCTCGTTTTCCATTTCAAGCATCATGGAATAAATAATGACTGGCAAAATTCAGCCAACCTAGGGCTTTTCAGCTAAATCTCTCACCAGTTACGATTAATACTCATCCTGTATTTCAACTTACACTCAGAAGAAACAGAACTACCTCAATGCATGTAGAATTACAATATTCTCCAGGTATGTACTGGAGAATCTAATGGGAACAGATGGCATGCTCAGTAGGGTTCTCAGAACGATGACCACACCCACTTTGAGATTGCACCATATCAAAAACCACTAATTTTTGTAATGCTACCGCCCATACCTACCTAGTTTTCTTACTCTTTTGGGCTCCCATTCCTACTTCCAAATTTTTTTATTTTCAATTTTTGTACACTCGTTTCGTAGTATTTTTTCGGTACAAAGCCTCGAAAATGACTGGGCTCTAGGCCTATCCTTCTCATAGCTTTTCTTGGTGCTAAGTCTCAAGGATAACTGGGCTCTAGGCCTATCCTTCTTGTAGCTTTTCTTAGAGCTATCTCTCGACATTTCCTAGCTTTTGCTTATATCTTTGCTATAGTTTTTCTTCATCTAACCGGAGTAGCAGCCTCTTCTTTGGCTTGATTAATGACTAAGGCTTGTTTTGCATATTCATCATTATTGTTTCTAACCTTATCTCTATTTTTACAGTAATGCTCTCTTCTCTGGGGCAAAGACTTTTCAACATTATCACCATAAAATTTTCTCTTTTTACTTCGTTTCGATCCTTTGTGCTCAATTTCAAACAAAGAATATTTCAGTTAGATTTTAATTGTGGTGTTCATAATCTTAATTTCTCTTGAATTCTGTTAAGGTTTTCTGAGCAATCTTCATTTTTATACAGATTGCAAAATAATAGAAATACGATTTTTTCATTCCTAATTCAATTAATGATTCTAAATATTATGTTACCATTTAAAAATTTGTTAGGGGATCTTTTTTTTTTTGCCAGTGTTTTCAGCTATTGTCAATTGCTCATCTAATATCGTCTCAACTCAAATATATTTTCATTCTTTCTAAACTTATTTGATCAAATTTGTAAATCTTACCTTTTTTTATAATGTTACGCCTCCGTTCGCTAGTTAATTTTCCGTAAATTCTTTCCGACTAAACTTTAGCGACACAAGTCCTTTCTTAAATAAAACTGGTTTATTCTGTCCGAATACAACTTTACGATACACTTAATTTCAACAGTCGCGCTATAATTCTCAAGAACGTCTCACGTGCTCGAGTTCAATTACACACTCCCTGAGTGCAGTTCAATTACTCACTACCTGTTGTACCGTCACGTTGTGACCATCTTATATATACCAGATTACCCCAATCTAGTAATCTCCCGACAATTCACGAAGGTTCGAGAAAGAAGTGGCGTGATACTAGTCACGTGACCTCGCTGACGCAACAATAATATTGTCATGCTATAATTTATAGCTTTCGGGGCATT